TCCTGATTTTAGTGGAATTGCTTTGAGTTTCTCTCCATTTAATTTGATGTTGGCTGTTGGCTTGCTGTAAATTGCCTTTATTATGTTTAGGTATGTTCCCTGTATTCCTGATCGCTCCAATACCTTTATCATGAAGGGGTGTTGGATTTTGTCAAATGCCTTTTCTGCATCCAGTGAGATGATCATATGGTTTTTTTCTTTGAGTTTGTTTATATGGTGTATTACATTGACGGACTTTCGTATGTTGAACCACCCTTGCATCCCTGGAATGAATCCTACTTGATCATGGTGGATAATTGTTTTGATGTGTTCTTGGAGTCTGTTTGCCAGTATTTTATTGAGTATTTTTGCATCAATGTTCATGAGGGAGATCGGTCTGTAGTTCTCTTTCTTTGTTGTATACTTGTTTGGTTTAGGAATTAGGATAATTGTAGCCTCATAGAAGGAGTTTGGTAATGTTCCTTCTGTTTCTATTGTGTGGAACAATTTAGGGAGTATTGGTATTAACTCTTCTTTGAAGATCTGGTAGAATTCTGCGCTGAAACCATCTGGTCCTGGGCTTTTTTTGGTTGGGAGACTGTTTCTATTTCATTAGGGGTTATTGGACTATTTAAATAGTTTATCTGGTCTTGATTTAACTTAGGTATGTGGTACCTATCCAGAAAGTTATCCATTTCTTTTAGGTTTTCCAGTTTTGTCGAATAGAGGTTTTTGAAGTATGACCTGATGATTCTCTGGATTTCCTCAATGTCTGTTGTTATGTCCCCCTTTTCATTTCTGATTTTGTTGATTTGGATGCTCTCTCTCTGTCTTTTGGTTAGTTTGGATAAGGGCTTGTCTATCTTGTTGATTTTCTCAAAGAACCAACTCTTTGTTTCATTAATTTTTTGTATTGTTCTCTTTGTTTCTATTTTATTGATTTCAGCTCTCACTTTGATAATTTCCTGGCGTCTATTTTTCCTGGGAGACTGTGCTTCTTCTTGTTCTAGAGCTTTCAGGTATGCTGTTAAGTCTCTAGTGTGAGATTTCTCCAACTTATTTATGTGGGCATTTAGTGCTATGAATTTCCCTCTTAGTACTGCTTTCATAGTGTCCCATAAATTTGGATATGTGGTGTCTTCATTTTCATTGATCTCTAGGAAGTCTTTAATTTCTTTCTTTATTTCTTCCTTAACCCATTGGTGATTCAGTTGGGTATTATTCAGTTTCCATGAGATTGCAGGTTTTCTGTAGTTTTTGTTGTTGTTGAAATCCAACTTTAGACCATGGTGGTCTGATAGAACACAGGAGATTATTCCAATTGTTTTGTATCTGTTTAGATTTGTTTTGTGGCCAAGTATGTGGTCAATTTTAGAGAAGGTTCCATGGGGTGCTGAGAAGAAGGTATATTCTTTTTTGTTAGGATGGAATGTTCTGTAGATACCGATTAAGTCCATTTGAGTCATGACATCAGTTAATTCCTTTATTTCTCTGTTAAGTTTCAATTTGGGAGATCTGTCCAGTGGTGAAAGTGGGGTGTTGAGGTCTCCCACTATTAACGTGTGGGGTTTTATATGTGATTTAAGCTTTAGTAATGTTTCTTTTACATATGTGGGTGTCCTTGTGTTTGGGGCATAAATATTCAGAATTGAGACTTCATCTTGGTGGATCTTTCCTGTGATGAGTATGTAATGCCCTTCTTGATCTCTTTTGATTGATTTTAGTTTGAAGTCTATTTTGCTGGATATCAGGATGGCTACACCCGCTTGTTTCTTAAGACCGTTTGATTGGAAAGTCTTTTCCCAGCCTTTTATTTTTAGGTAGTGTCTATCTTTGAATTTGAGATGTGTTTCTTGTATGCAGCAGAAAGATGGGTCCTGCTTTCGTATCCATTCTGTAAGCCTATGTCTTTTTATAGGTGAATTAAGTCCATTGATATTGAGGGAAATTAATGACCAGTGATTGTTCATTCCTGTTATTTTTTGGTGGTAATGTGTGGGTACTTCTATACGTTGGGGTTTACTGCTGTGGCTTTATCTGTTGCCTGTGTTTTCGAGGGTGTATCTGACTTCCTTAGGTTGGAATTTTCCTTCTAGTGCTTTCTGTAGGGCTGGGTTTGTGGATAAGTATTGTTTAAATCTGGCTTTGTCATGGAATGTCTTGTTCACTCCATCTATGGTGATTGAAAGTTTTGCTGGGTATATTAGTCTAGGTTGACATCCATGGTCTCTTAGTGTCTGCATTACATCTGTCCAGGTTCTTCTGGCTTTCAAAGTCTCCATTGAGAAATCGGGTGTTATTCTGATGGGTTTGCCTTTATATGTCACTTGGCCTTTTTCCTTTGCTGCTCTTAATATTCTTTCTTTATTCTGTACGTTTAGTTGTTTAACTATTATGTGGCGAGGGGACTTTTTTTGGGGGTCTAGTCTGTTTGGTGTTCTATAAGCTTCTTGTATCTTCATAGGCATTTCCTTCTTTAAGTTGGGAAAGTTTTCTTCTATGATCTTGTTGAATATATTTTCTGTGCCCTTGAGTTGGTATTCTTCTCCTTCTTCGACCCCTATTATTCTTAGGTTTGGTCTTTTCATGGTGTCCCAAATTTCTTGGACATTTTGGTTCATGACTTTGTTGGCTTTAGTGTTTTCTTTGACTGATGAATGTATTTCTTCTACTGTATCTTCAACGCTAGAGATCCTCTCTTCCATCTCTTGCATTCTGTTGATTATACTTGCATCTGAAGTTCCCAATCGTTTTCTCAGATTTTCTATTTCCAGCATTCCCTCTGTTTGTGTCTTCTTCATTTTTTCTATTTCCCTTTTCAGGTCTTGGACTGTTTCCTTCATTTGTTTCATTGATTTTTCTTGATTTTCTCTCAGTATTTTATTGTTTTCTTCCAGGACTTTATTGATTTCTTCTAATTTGTTTGCCCTTTCCTCTAGTTGTTTACAGCGTTCTTCACATTTTTTTGTCTTTTCCTCTACGCAAGCCTCTAGCTTCTTCATGATGTCATTCATAAGGCTGTTTTCTTCTGCTTCTTCCAATTTCTGATGTTCAGGTCTAGGTGTTGGAGGAGGGCTAGGGCCTGGTGATGCTGTATTGCTATTCATTTTGTTGTATATGTTTCTGCCTTGACGTCTGCCCATCTCCTTGTGGTTCGTTCTTGGCCTTATCCGCACACTTGGTTCAGACAGACCAGTGTTCCAAAAGGGAAGTCAGTGTTCCAAAAGGGAAGTCCGGAGCAAGATGGGAGCTGGGGGCCGGCCTCTAAGTCTCAGGAAGAGGCTTGGGGCTCAGGCGGATGGGCGTGGGGGCAGGGCGTGGAGACTGCAGGGTCTGCCAGGGGTCTTGGAGAAGGGGATCCTTCCCGGTTGGGCTAGCAGGGAACCTGCCCGGTGGCTAGAACCTGGCGCCGAGTTGGGCAGGTCTTCCCTGGAGTGGCTGGTGCCAGGGATGGGGTCTGGGGCAAGGAAGGCCACTCACCAGTGTTGTAAAAGGGAAGTCCGGAGCAAGATGGGAGCTGGGGGCCGGCCTCTAAGTCTCAGGAAGAGGCTTGGGGCTCAGGCGGATGGGCGTGGGGGCAGGGCGTGGAGACTGCAGGGTCTGCCAGGGGTCTTGGAGAAGGGGATCCTTCCCGGTGCGGCTAGCAGGGAACCTGCCCGGTGGCCAGAACCTGGGGCCGAGTTGGGCAGGTCTTCCCTGGAGTGGCTGGTGCCCAGGGATGGGGTCTGGGGCAAGGACGGGCACTCACCAGTGTTGTAAAAGGGAGGTCCGGAGCAAGATGGGAGCTGGGGGCCTCTTTTTAATTTTTTTAATTAATTAAATTTTGTTATTTATCTTACATACCAATTGCAGTTTCTCCTTCCTCCTTTCCTCCCGCCCCCACCAAGCCTTCTTTCTACCCCACCCCCATTCTCTCATCCTCTCAGTTTGTGTCTTTTTCATTGTCTGTTTCAGTCTTCAAATCTTGAACTGTTTTCTTCACCTGTTTAATTGCTTTTTCTTGGCTTTCTTTAAGGGCTTTATTGATTTCTTCCATTTTTTCATCTTTTCCTCAATTTCTTTAAGGGAATTTTTCATTGCCTCTTTAAAGGCCTCTATCATCTTCTTAAGGTCAATTTTAATGTCAATTTCTTCTGCTTCTTCTGCATGGGAATGTTCAGTTCTTGCTGATGTAGAACCACTAGGTTCTGATGGTACCATATTGGTCTTTTTGTTGTTGACTGTATTTTGCACCGGTGTCTATCCATCTCTTCCTCCACTTGGTGCAATTGGTGTCTGTGTCTGAAGGAGCCTCTCTTGGTCTGATGGATACACTTATTCCAATGGGAGCTCTTCGTCTAATCAGGGCTCTTGGTCCAATTGGTGCTGATGGACTCTGTGTCTCAGGGAGCAACTCTTAGTCCAATCAGTGCTGGTTGGGTTGGGTGGCGTTGGGGCTTGTGAGTTCCAGGATCTGGTGGTGGTGGTGGTGGTGGTATTCTGACCTGTCTGGAGGAGACCTGTTCTGCTGGCCTGAAACTGGGACTGCAATGGGTGGTGGTGTGGGAGTACAGGGTTGTGCCCCTCGGCCCAAAGCCTAGAGGATGGGGTATTTGGATGAGAACAAAGACTCACCTCTTAGTCCAATCAGCAGTGGCAGGCTCTGTCTCATTGAGCAGCTGTGTCTTGGAGGGTTGATTTGTGTCTTCTTCATTGCATCTTTTTTCTTTTTTCAGGTCTTGAACTTTTACCTTCACCTGTTTAATTGCTTTTTCTTGTTTTTCTTGGCTTTCTTTAAGGGATTTATTGATTTATTCCAAATCTTGTTTTTTCCTCATTTTCTTTAAGGAAATTTTTTATTTCCATTCAAAGGCCTCTATCATCTTCATAAAGTTATTTTTAAGATTCCTTGTTTCTGCTTCTTTTATGTTGTGATGTTCAGGTCTTGATGTTGTAGAATTGCTACTTCTGGGGGTACCATATTGTTCTTTATGTTGTTGCATGTATTTTTGCACTGACATCTACCCATCTTCCTCCAACAGGTGCAAGAGGTTATTGTGTCTGTGGGAGCTGCCTTTGGTCCAATCTGTCCTTGCTGTGCTTGTGTCTCAGAGGGCCACTCTTGGTCCAACCAGACCTCTTGGTCTAATTGGAGCTCTCGGTCCAGTCAGAGCTGGTGGATTCTGTGTCTCAGGGAGCCATTGTGGTCACAGGGGAATGGGTGAGTTTGCTGTAGGGAGTGGGTCTTGTAGATAACAGGGTCCATTGTGGGGTGTTGGTGGGGAGACCTGCCCACAGGGTTCTTCCCTGCTGGCCTGCAACCGGGGCAGCAATGAGTGGGGGACACAGATTGTGCCCCATGGCCTAAGGAATAGAGGCAGGACACTCTGGGTGGGAGAAGAGTCATTCATCTCTTGGTCCAATTAGAGCTGGTGGAGTCTGTGTCTCAGGAAGCCACTGAGGGCTCAGGCAGGTGGGCGGGTTTGGGGTAGCTAGTGGGCTTTTTAGATTGCAGGGTCCAATGGGAGGTGATGTTAAGGAAGCCTGCCTGCAGGATTCTTCTTATTCTACATTTCCTAAGTGTGACTAAATATATATACTAAAAGTTTGTGATCAATAAAATGTAAGAAAAAAGGAAAATTCAGCAGAAGCCTTTCTTTTCTAGTGCACCTGGAATGACACTGTGTCAATGTATCTGTGGTAACACATGTAAACTATGGGGGAAGCATACATAATTTACACCAGCATATTAGCCACATGTTAACTGTTAATAATGAAACTTTCAATTTTCAAAAAAATAGATCTTTTACCCTAAATGGTTGGAACAAAGAGAGGACCTTTAACTATTTTGTACAAAATCTAGGGCCTGGCACCTCCAAGCCACTCTGGCCATCAGTGGTGTTCATTCCCAAGATGACAGTGTGAGAAAATTACTTCTCTGCAGAGCTGGTCAATCAATTAACAACATCTACTTGTTAATCATACAGATCCCAGGTCTAAAACATAAGCAATTAGCCTCCTAAGCTAAATCTTGCATCAATAAACCCAGTTGAAAGTGATAATAGCCTTCTGAGGTCAAAGCAGGGATAGCTGAATTGCACTCCCATTATTTGCAGGCAGGTTGCTTTCAGGGCGCTCTGTTGTTTTTAATCTCAAAGGGGCTTTGGTTCAACAAATGCTGAAATTCTGTCTTTGAGTCTCTCTGTGAAAGTCCCATTTGTGATCTTTTTGCATAAACACCTCCTCTGGTCAAATTGTCCTGCTATAAAGTTAATTATAGAGAACAGACTTCTAGGTATTTATCAGACTGTTTAACAAAGATTTGACTGTGCAATTTATTTTTCTCACCAGTATTACACAGTGTGGGTAGAAGTCATCCTTCTATTAGTAAAAGGAATCATTGTTTCTGACAAAAGAGGAGAACACTGCTAAGGTTGTGAGACAAGTCCCAAAGCTGCTACAGAGAGTGAAAGGCATGGCATCACACAAGAGATTTACAGTAATAAGCAGCCATCTATTCAAAAGACAGTAATCCTCATTGCCTTACCTATGAATTTGTCCTCAATCAGATATGCATATTTCTGGTGGGTTGATCTTCTAAATATCAGCTGTAGATTACATAATCTTGATGGGACATAATGTTGATGGGACTCCATCAACAGAGGGCACATTTCCTTTGATTAATTAAATGTCTTGCTGCTGAAAAAGGAGTCAGTTCATAAAAAAAAATCAAAAACATACACCAAACAAAAGCAACCAAAGATCATAGATTTAATAAGGTCTCGTGTGGCAGGTGCAGGTGCATCAAGATTCAGTCAATCATGACTGCAAGAGCTTGAGAAAGTTATTCACAATGCTTCTTCAGTCAGGAAGTACATAGAGGTTAATACTTCTCTTCATATTTCTTCTTGTTTTTCACTCTGTCCTGGACAATAGTCAATGAAATGGTGCTACCTACTTTTACAGTATGTCTTACCCCTCTTCAAGTACCCTAATGTACATCATCTCTCACACAAAGGCCCAAAGACTTGTTTGCATTGTGATTCTGAATCCTTTTAGGCTTATATGCAAAGAGATATTACATATCATCATTATAAAAAATTGCTCCACCCAGCCATTCGAAAGCACACAGTAGGGACACTTTATGACATTCTACTTGCCCTTCCAGACATGTGTTCAATGATGCGACTTCCTATTATTTTGCCCTGCCACTTAATACTCCCAAAACTGTTCAGAGATTTGTTGTCATTGGATCATTGTTTAAACACATTGAACTTCATTAGGTATATAATTTCAAAGTTTAAGCATCAAAACCATAATATGCTGTTATAAATATAAAAACTTTCCATCTCATTATTTAATATTGAAAAGTACTCTTTATTACCTTAACCCTGTCCCCTCCTAAATATTTCTCTCATGTATTTCATTCTCAGCTTCCTCGCTCTGCGTGCAGTGAGAGCTGTGGTCCTGGATTCAGAAAATCCCCCCAGGAAGGCAAGGCTGCCTGCTGCTATGATTGTACTCCTTGTCCAGATAATGAGATTTCCAATGAGACAGGTAAGTGCCAGTCTAACTGGGGTATTTCCCACCTCTTCACAGTGTTCTGCAATTTCTAAGCAGATGGAAACTTTCTGTGAATGATCAGCAGAGATAAGCACTATTATTTCATTTAAAAGTTATAATGTTTCAGTTCATTGTATCATCATTTCAAAATTTCAGTCTGGCCATTGAAATTCATAATCGATCAATGTTTGTTTTCTCTAGGCATTGGTCTCTGTAGAAAAACCACTTTATCTATCCCAGAGCAGTCTGCCCATTTTGTCATAGCTTTTAACACACGGTACAAATTGTCAACTTTCCTTGTTTTTGAAAACGCATTTATTCATAATTTACACAAATTTTATGGTTGTGTCCTTACCATCCTTACTTTCATAATTTCAATCATGGCTCTGGATTCATCAAAGATGATCAGAATTGTATTTGAACTACTCTTTGTTATAGTTATGAATATTTTAAGTAAGGTTTTTCATGTTTTTTTGTCTCTTAATGTCTTGCCTGCATGCATGAATATGAACCACAGGCAGGCTTGCTTGGAACACATGGAAGGTAGCATAGGGCATCAGACCACCTGGACATGGAGTCTCAGATGGCATTGTCTTACCATGTAGGTGCTTGTGACAGAATATGGGCCCTTCTGGAGAGCCACAGGTGCCCTGTACCAAACAACTTTTTTTTTCAGTACTTTATCCTTAATATCTTTCATAAATAACTTTCAACATTCCCTTAATTATTATCTTTTCTTCCTTGTTTACCTACATCTTCTTATGCATACAGGAAACACCATGGTACATAATATATAAGGAGAGTTTGATCAGCATATAACATAGGTTTTAAATTCCTAAAGTAGTTGTGGAGCAAAAAATATACATTAGTGTAGTATATCACAAAAATTATCATGAGAATGTTCCATTGAACAAAATATTTTTTAAATTAATAATTGTCTATGTAGTATGAAATTAAATCTAGATTTGTATCACTTCTTTTCATTTGATTAACCTAAGCCCTAAAGTACTGGTAATACTCATTTATTATTGCATACAAATGACTCTATCTTTATAATGTGTTAATAGAAGCATTGCTGAACATAAAATAGGTAAATTATAGAATACTGACTTGTGACAACAGTTGAAATGGCATCATCACTCCCATTAATGGTAATGTTGAGATTAAGCCAGGCAGAGGTGCACACTTCTGTGGCGGTATTTTACTTGTACTGAAATATGATTTTAATTGTATGTTAATAAATAAAGTTGCCTGGGGGTCAGAGCTATTAGAGCCATAGCAAGTGCGTGGCGGCGGTGGCACACGCCTTTAAGGACCTGGAGGGAGGTACATACAGGCAGTGACGAGGCAGTCACATGTTTGGGTTTACAAACAATGAGAAGGCAGAACAGCTAGAGTATATAAAGACATACACACAGGAAGTAGGTCCCTTTCGGAGAGCTCTCTTGGCTGAAGAGGATCCCTGAATCAGGAAGGGTGAGGCTCTTAGCTCTGACCTCTTGGCTTTCTTCTCTGAATCGGCTCTGTGTTTCTTATTTAATAAGACCGTTGGTTACATCTACACACTTCTGTTCTCAGAGCAACTCAGGATTGAAGTGCAAGGATCTGTTTTTCACAGCAGATTTGGGCACAATAGCAGAATCCTATGTTGAAATACATCCAAGGAACAGAAAATAGGCATGAGGTGACTGAAAATAGTGAATGTGAGAAGCACACACAGACACAATGTTGAATATGGAGAGAAAACCAGATAAGATTTCCAATCATTATGATTTCAGTCTAATTAGATTCTTTATTTATTAATTTAAATATTTTGAACTATAATCATTTCCCCAAACAATCAGGGATTTAAATATTATTTCATGAAAATGTAAATTTTCTAATTTTAGAGTGTTTTTGAAGTGCCTATTTTCAAAATGTGTATATTAAAACTATATTATATAGACTGTCAAAGACTTATCGTGCATATAGATGCTTTGTGTGCATTGGTGGCATGGTAAGTTCAGGCACATGTTCCATGTATATATTGGAGGAAGACTGAAACCTCAACCTCAAACCCTGAATGATTGCAGTTCAAGAAGACACTTCAAGACAGTTTGAGAAAGAAGACACTAAAACATAAATGTTAAATGGTTCAGAGCAGAGAATCTTACACTTCAAATCATGTAGAATAAACTGTACTTATCTTTGAAAATTACATATTTAGTCTCTGTGGAATACTTGGAACATTTTATATACCCTGTACTCTTTACCAAATAAGACATGGGGTTATGGCAATGATGAATTCATGCTGTTAGAAACCAATAGCCAGTAAATCCATGGGAAACTGAAGAGGAGTGCCTTGAGAGTGAGGATTGTGTGAAGGCACACAATGAAAGATACCCTTGAGAGCTTGTGTGGAGGTTCTAACAGGGGAGTGCAGCTACTTGTATACACATGATTGAGGATTTGTCCTGCTCCATTTGGGGAAGGTCCTCCTCTTTGAACACGTGTACACCTTCAGGAAGGATGTACATGGAGCGGTTAGGGAGGAAGGGGACACCTTCCTAGCCAGTCAGATCATATGAATCAAGCCTGGCCCTCAATGGGGTGACAGATGTTGCAGCCAGACCAATCTCCAACCATCATTGCAAGGAGCCTGCTTGAGAACTCGGATGGTGTTAGTAGTCACAAGTAGACACAGCACCCTAAGCAGGTATGGATGACATCTTGAGAAGTTTATCAGTTAGTGAATGTTCAATAAGGCCTGTCAGTGAAGTCCAATAGAAGTTTACTAACATTACAGTAAAGGCCAGCATTATCATTACAGGATATAAAAATAAATAAATATAAAACTATACATGAGGTCTGTCATCTTTCAATACCGAAATCTTAATGTTTTCACCTTTAAAAAATCTATTTGAAAATGGTCAAATATTATGTAGATTATGAGGCATATGGCTGAACCATTTTAGGATATGAAAGTATTCTTTCAGCTTAGTGCTCTATGTTCAGGTAGCTTATGAAGTTTTGGATGGATAAATATGGTAATAATATTTTCTCAGTTACCTCATACTCTGTTTGTATAGGGGTATCAATTACTTTTGCAGAAAAGGTAACTAAACATATAAAATTCACCTATGATTCAGTATATCTTAATATACAGTTATGTCTAATACAAAAAGTATGTGTTGGTCTTTACACTGAAATATCCCTAACATGTCTGTTTCAACAACAGCAGTATGTGTAGCTATGTAGAAGGTACACAACTCCTCTGCTTTGTGACAGAATAATACATGTTTATCAGTTAGTTATTTTCTTGATGCTATGACCAATTACTTGACAAATTGGCTCTCAGTTTGAGAGTACTGTCTTCATGTCAGCAAGAGTAGAAGCTGCTGGGCATATTGGTACTGTAGTCAGGAAGCAGGGAGAGAGATGAATACCCTGAGCTCCACTTTTTTTGGGGGGTCTGGGACTCTAGGCCATGGAATGGTGCCCATACTCTCTCAGTGGGTTTAACCCCTTCCACGAGAGTGAGACCCCCCCAAACTGAAATGCCCTCACAGACTCAACTTAATATTTGTCTCCTCAGAAATTCTAAGTTCCATCAAAATTAACCATTGCAATCTGTCTCTCTTCCTGCAAAATAATTAACAAATCTACTCTATGAGAGTGTAAGTTCACTGAGCAAGAGGGGACTTATTCTCATTTTGGGAGATCATGAATATGAATATGTGTGTGTAGTCAGATTATGGTGCCTGTAGTAAATACTTGAAATAAAAAAAAGATAATCTTGGCAAAATCGTGAATTCAATAACTTGTTTAAATAATTTCAATAAATATAAAATTGAATAAGTCAGTTTGGAAAAATTTTCAACCAAATGAAAGGATATAAATACATTGATACTTATGTATTGTTTATTTTAGATGAAACTTACAAATTGTCATTAGGAAATTATCAAAGAATTACTCCATCACACACTAAGACTAGTAAAAATGTTTATATTATCAGGCAGTGGGGGCACATATCTTAATCCAAGCATTGTAGAAGCTCTGGCAGACATAGCTATGAATGAATTGGAGGCCAGTCTTTTCTACAGAGTGAGTTCCTGAACTGCCAGCACTACACAGAGATACCCTGTGTAAAAAACAACAAAAATCACTTTTATGCCTATTTGTTAAATAAATCTTTTCTCCATGCAAATGACTAAACACCAAACAGTTTCAGAAATGGAAGTTTTCATGCTATGAGGACTCTAATAATTCTCATTTCTGCATGAACCATCAGAAAATGAACAAAGTGGGGAATCCAATAAACTCCATGAAAATAGATAAATTTTGGGCCAATGACAGAAAAATATAATACAAAGAAATTAGAAAAAAACTCTTGATAGTGAACTCACATTACCAATTCCTACTTGATGGATTTCACAAGGAGGGAGTCTTATGAATAAGTTAGGTTTACATAATTTGTTAATAATTTATGACTATATAAAAAGGTGTAGATTCCATGAAAAAACAAACATTTTTATGTACAACGATGAAGTGAATAGAATTGTTCACTTCAAATCCCAATAAAGCCGGGCGATGGTGGCGCACGCCTTTAATCCCAGCACTCGGGAGGCAGAGCCAGGAGGATCTCTATGAGTTCAAGGCCAGCCTGGACTACCAAGTGAGTTCCAGGAAAGGCGCAAAGCTACACAGAGAAACCCTGTCTCGAAAAATCAAAAAAAAAAAAAAAATCCCAATAAAGACAATGGGTAGAGTCAATTTGAGGTTATTGATTTGAGATCATTTAGGAATTTTCACTATTGAAGACTAATTTACTTGAGTCTTAAACAGTGAAGAGAAGAGATGTAGGTATCATGCCAAACAACTGGTGCTGGGAAGGGGCTTGGGATAAAAGGGGAGCTTGAGCACAGCCTCAACAAAACTTTTATTTATGATCAGATGTAGATAATTGTGTGAAGTGTCCTGATAGACACTATGCAAACACACAACAGAACCACTGC